CTTCGAAGGGGGAGAAGGCGACGCTGCAGCTGAAGGACTCGGAGAGGAAGATCAGGAAGTTCTTCACCCTCTGGGAGAAGGTCATGCGGTCCGTGAGGAGGGAGAACATGCGCGGGACGTAGGACGGCGGGTCGGGGCCCTGGGCAGCCTGGATGTCGATGTTACACGGCACTCCCCTCATGAAGAAGATGCTGGGGATGGAGAAGTGGACGGCAATGATCTGCCCGCAGGGGTTGAAGGGGTCCGTGAAGATGGCGTCAAATTTGCTGTCTTGGATGTATTTCATCACCTCCTCGTTGTACAGCAGGGCTCTGCAGGTGGATTCGAACATGTTGCCGCTCTTCCGGGAATCTTTCAGAATATTCCAAAACCTGATCAGGAAGGGCTCTTCACTAAAGCACCTCGAACCAAAGGAGCGCACCAGGGCTTCCATCTCTTCCTTCTTGATGGGGACAGGGTAGGTTTTCAACTCATAGACGTCCGAGGAGTCGATGAGCATCTTGTTGTCCGGGGCCAGAACCACAATTTCGTGCCCTCTCTTGTTCAGCTCTGCCAGCACTTCCCTCATGCTGAGCCAGTGGCTGCCCTCCATGGGGATCACCAGCAGCTTCCCAGCGCTGGCAGGACCCAGGAGGCACAGGAAGGGGAGCAGCAGTGCCCGCAGCATGTCGGGAGCTGCCCAGAGAGGAGCCCACACACCGAGAGGCCGGGGCTGGCTCTGGGGCTTTTGTAGCCGTGCCCCACCCGCGCCAGCCTCCCGCCTGGAACCACTCCCACTGCTCCCTCTGCCCTTGCACTTGACTCCTGATCCAGGTGTTCACAGGTCTGCACGCAACGGAGCCACAGCAGGTGATTCAGCATCATAAAAGGGAAAGGTCGGGTCTGTGCTGCAAAGGTGGCTCCACGTGAGCCGAGCAAGGCGTGTCACCTTCACTCACGCGAGCTGAGACACCTCAGACTCCCCTTCTTGCCCTCAGCCACCACCCTGACATTTACTGACCAGAGCGAGTTGCACAGTGAAATACAACTTCGAGATAAATATGGGAAATCAGTGTTGAAATACCTGGGTTTGGGGTTTTTGTTTTGTTTTTCATAACCCAAACCATTGGGCACCACTGAGAAAAATTCAATTTCTTTCCATTAATGCAAGCTTCCATTTTTTTTTTTTTTTTTCTGAGGGAAGCAGCCAACAGGAAGCCTCCCCTCACCTCTCCACACAACCTTCACCTAACCCCTTATTTTGTCAGCTCTAAAATGAGGTTGTGAAACAGCAGTTCACCGTTGTACCTCCGATAACACGATCCAACAACACGCTGCCGATTCACCAAGCCATGAGTTGTTCAAGGGCCAATGTCGACCCGGTTCAATCCAGGTCCCTCCTGGCTATGAATTGCTGGGGCTTTAAAAGTTGGTGATAACCTCTCATTAAAGTTTACAAGTTTAGAAGTAGGTGGCAGGGCAGGTGCCTTTGGATGGAGCTCCCACCTGCAGGGCGTTCAGGGCTCCACAGCCCTGGTGGAGTTTTCTCTTCCCAGCTTTCTGCCCTCCCCAGGAACCTGCCCTCCAAAAGGAGCAGCTCCATCACCCACACTGTCTCAGCTTTGGTAGTTCACAGCATGGATTAACATAGTGGGAAGTTTCAAACAGCTCAGAGGAAGGAGCTGCACGGAAAACACACCAGTTGCCCTGACAAGCTGTTGAAGGAACACCAGAAGGCTGATACCCAAAAGCCCAAACTGGAATTTACAGAAAACACCCAGAAAAGCTTCAAAGCTAATTCAATACCTGTAAAAGAAGGGGAGGATAAAAAAGAAGGGGGGGAGCATTTGTTTTGATAGTGACACCATGACACAACAGCGTGGAAGGGAATCAGTCTGGCAGATGGTTGTGGCAGAAAAAAAGACGGTGAATGGGTAAAACTTAAGCCCTATAACCTTCAGTGTGGATGAAAGGAGAAGGGATATATGGAAGTATAGACAGACAGTTCCTACTGATAAGGGAGGACACCAAAACCAAGGTGAGCTTCAGTTCAACAAGAGTTTAACATTTGCATAAAAGTTACACATCGTGTAAATTCTCATCATTAGGCCTGATGTGGCTTTAGGATCGCCAGGAAATGGTATAACCTGAGTGCTGGATATTAGAAAGTCCCACTTTTGCCTCATGCAGGACTTGTCATTAGCTTTTTATCTTTAAACACCAAGATCTTTTCAGGTGGGATTTGATGTAGGGATGGGAGTGGCATCCCTGCCAAGTGAGATGACCTTCCAGGTTCCTTCCAACCCAAACCATTCTGTGATTCTACGACTCTGTTTTCCTATTTATGTTTTTGCCTTTTCACCAGAAACAAACAAACAACAACAACAACAACAAAAGTAATACCTGAGAGAGTTTTTTCTTCTGCTGACAGTTTATCCCTCCAATAAAAGCCATGTTGGGCATCACTGGTCTTGGGAACTCAAACACAAAATCGTATCTCATCAGCCAAAATGACCCATGGCTCAGAAGCTCTGTGGCTGTCACCTTCTTCTTCAACACCTCATGTGCAAGTTCTTCCATTTTAGCGTATATTGGCTTACAGTAAAAGAGCTCCAGGAGATGCACCAGCATGTTCTTCACGCGCTGGGCAAAGGTCATGGTGTCTGAATAGTACAGGAAGAACCTGGGGATGTAGGAAGGAGGGTTTGGGCACTGGGTGGCATCGAAATCCATCCCACAGGGAAAGCCCCGCAGGAAGTAGACGGAAGGGACCGCAAGGTACTCGGCCACCACGGGCCCACACATGAGGATGGGATCCGTGAACACCACGTCGAACTCGCTCTCCGCCAGCTCCCGCATCAGGTCTTGCTCATGCAGGAGGCTCTCGCAGTTCATGAAGAAGATCTTGGACAGCTCTACCGTGCTCCGGTACGAGGCAATAATGAGGTTCAGAACAGATCCTCCGGTGAAATGAGCGTCGATGAAGGACTTGAGCTCGGTAGCCAAATACCCGTCCGGGTAGGGGGCGGGGTAGACCCTCACGGTGTAGTTCTGAGGCTCCTTCGACGTCATGTACAGGCTCGTGGAGGGCACCACCACCACCACCTCGTGGCCCTTCTGCCGGAGCTTCTCCACCACCGGGCGCATGCTGAGCCAGTGGCTCCCGTCCTGAGGGATCACCAGGATCTTCCCGCCTTCAGCGAGGATGAAGGACCACGCCAGGAGAAGCAGGAGGCTCGTCCGGCCGAGAAAGCGCTGGGAGGGGAGAGCCATTGCGGTGGAAGGGAAGCAGAGGGTTCTGCTCCGTGGGGCTCCAGCGCACTCCTTTATAGGCAGGTCCGTGCAAGCTAAGCAGGGAACTTATTGACCACAGAAAGAAATATTTAACTTCCCATCACTGTTGGGATTAGCCTGCAATATCGCACGTGTCGGTGTAATGAAAGGGAAGCGCAGTGTCCTTGGAAAAACATTCGGGCTCTCTGTTAATGGTTAAGCTTGGAAGTCTGTCAGCACCTTCCTTCCTCCACGAAACCAAGAGCAGGGCTGGCATCTTGCAGTGATAATTGTGGATAAGACCACTGACTTGGGAAATCAGAGAATCACAGAATCAAAGAATCAGCCGGGTTGGAAAAGACCTCCGAGATCATCAAGTGCAACCCTGACTTGGGAAATGATGGAGAGCAGCTTGGTGAGCTCTTCTGCCAGCTCCCTCATCACCCCAGCGTGGATCCCATCTGATCCTGAGGATCCAAGCGGCTCAGCAGGTCACTAACTGCTCCCTCCTGGATTACACACCTCCTGACACAACAAACCTGCTTTTGCTTTCGAAGGGCAGCCCTTCAAACACACCCTGCAGAAGGGCTGGAAACTGCAGCACCGTCTCCTTCATGGGCTAACCCCGCTGAGAACACAAGGCTCCTGTTAAATCCCCACCCTCTGGGAGCAGTCAAACCTGCAACTCTTCTGACAAGATCACAGCCCCCAGGATGTATCAGGCAGTCCCAGAGCTGAGGAGGAGCAGAACAATCCTGTTTGGCTTTTTTCCCCTCATGGTACTAGACCAAAAAAAAGAGGAACTAAATGCTGGGCTCAGGGTAAACAAAGGGAAAGGAGAGTGGAACAAGCCTTTTGGGACACAAAGAAGGAGCCATGGCCTCTGGTCATGGCCTTGCCAACCCTTTCTATGGGCTGTGAACAAAGCAGAATTTCAGAGGAGGTGTGATACCTTTCCCTGATCCCACTAACAGCACACATACACATGGAAAACCCCAGCCACCAAACCAGACCTCTGGGCTCTCTCCTCCTTTCACAGACACATCAGCAACCATGTCCAGGTGTCTCCTGGGCTCTTCAGCCCTGAGCTCCAAGCTCACCTTCCCTCTCCCATGTTTCCCTCTGAGCAGCAGCCCAGCCTTGAAATTCCCTGCAGTGCCCTGAGGCCCTCAGGGCTTTGCTGGAGGAATGTTCTGGGATCTGAGTAAAAGTAGTGCCAGACCAAAGACTTTTGATGGGTGGTGAAGTCTCTTTGGGTGGTGCTAAGGAAGATGTCCTTGAGAAGAAAAGAGCTGGTGCAAAACCACCACCAGGCACAAAGGCTTTCCCGTTTTTTCTCTCGGTGGTGGTGGGATTCCCAACACCTTCAGGGTGGAGAAGCAAACCCTCACACAGCCTTGGAGAACAGGGTCTGTCTCAGCAGACACCCAGAGGGTGCTGAGACTGCTCTGAGAAGCTCCACTGTGTCCCACTGAGAAGGAGGAACCACCTTTAGATGTGGAAAAAAGCAATTTTTTAGACAGGACCAAAAATGTGAGATGTTTGGGAGAGAGCCCAGACTGAAGGTGTGAGACTGACCAGATCTATGATTAATTCTCATGAAATGCTGCAAATTTGGAGGCAAAAGGGTTTATTGCAACTGCTGTGACAAGAGCTGACCAAATTCATTTGGAACTTGCTCCTTGGTGTGTTTTTTGCTCTGGACTCAAAGATTTTCAGCAAAATCAGGCGGCTGAAAACAGCCAATGAAAGTTCTTCTTGCCTTGACTGTAAGAGGATGAATCTCTGATGGTATTGCTACACTTTCTTAATGGACTCCACAGACTTTTTGTACCAGACCACCAGAGCAAAAACTGTGGTAAAGGTGAGGCAGTAACAGGAGGGGCAGAATTAAAGAAAAAAAAAAAATCAGATTAGAGGTAAGAAAGGATGAAGTTCTAGGTTAGTGCAGGTCAGATCGAAGCTGGGTAATTATTACTGAGACAATTAACAGCCTGGTCAATATTTTAAACTAACGTGCAAAGTTTCCCTGTGTTTGCTTTTCATTAGCAGGAGCAAAGGGCACCTGCAGCCCTTTCAGCTCTGAAGGGTGTGGTGCTCCTGATTTATGTGCAAATTGGGGTCTGGTGAGCTGAGGGTTCCAGGAGTGAGAGCCATGGGCCTGCTTGGAGGAAAACCTTCCCCGGGGGGGACTAAAGGATGTCAGGTTTGTGTTAAACCAGGCCTGGGTGACCCCAGACTGTGGGTTTGTTCTCCTCTCAGATGGGACAGGGTGTCTCTGAGCTGGCTTTGGGGAGTTGACACTGTCCTAAAACTCCCCCCGACTGCTCGTCCCTGGGATGTGTGGATTTCTGAGCAGCCAACAGGGGGATTAAGGAAAAAAGGGTGGAAAGTGGATATCTCAGCAGCTCTAAAACTACAGCTAAACCCAAATGTTTTCCAGGCTGCCTGGAAGGGTTGGTTCCACAAAAACCAGGATTTGTTTTCCTCCTGTG